AATCAGCTTTTTCTCCCCAGGATTGGAATGGGAAGAAATCAATTTTTGGTCCACCAGAAGAAATTTGCTGGTCTTTCGATCAGTATTATTTTAACTGCTATCAGTTATCTGTAATTTACAGCTCTGTAAAATAGCTCAAATTGCCCACTAAAGAGTCACATAATTTAAAAAGGTGTGCCAGGTAACACCTTCTTTCTATTAAAGATACTCAGTTCATTTCCAAGTCTCACAATTTGTTATTCCAGTATACTTAAGAGAAATGTACAGACCCCATAAATCCTACCCATGATTTCTGTGAAAACCTTGGAGATTGCCTCAGCTCAGCTAGCACTCTTGAGAACTGACCTTGAGCTACAAATAAATGCCCCATATGAGCCTTTAGTCTTAGAGGAGCATTTTGGCTCTTCCCTCAGATATAAATGCCAAGCAACCTGTTTGGATGAGTTGGATGACTTCTAAGAGAATAAGAACTGTGGTAACTAATCCCAGATATTTTAGGCATGACAATTTTCCTTAAGGGCAAAGGGTTATAATGATAAGCCAAGTCTTCTGTGTGATGATTGAGCTGTTTTGTTTCCCCTAAGGGGTAGAGCAGTTACCACACACTAGGTATTGCACTAAGTATTTTGCATAGATTATTTAATTGACTATTGCAATAATACACTATGAGTATATGTGTTTTATGGGTGAGAAAAATTCTGCCTGAACTAGCTACATGGTAACTATTAATAAAAGTTTATTGAATGAAAAACAAGGAGAAACCAAGTGTGTAAGCATTTAATGAATTCTGTAAGTATCAAGACAGTAAGTATCTTAAGGACTGATTTAGATAACACATGTCCCAAAATTAGATACTGAGATATTTGTGGCACACATCCTCATCCTTCACACTTCATCTGGAAAATTGAGTCTATAACCTACTTTTTTTCATAGCCTGGTATGTACATTTGTCATAGATTGGCCAGATGGCATTGAACTATCTTTTTATGTGTTTACGTCTCCTTGCTTTCATTAGCTAACCTATGAGTTACTTTACAGGATGGACCATGTTTTTTGTATCTGTTCCTTGTGCCTTGCACAGTGATTGGCCCATACTAGGAACTAAAAGCTAAATATATACTTTTGAGCTCATCTGAAATATGCATATACAATAAAGCTAATTCCTAAAATCGAAACTTTGGAAAAATTCAGTCCTGAATCAAAAGTTGCAAAGAGTTTATTTCCTCTTTCAAAATGTTTCAGTGCTATTAGATTTTAGTGCTTAATAAATTCATTAAATTTGGAGGTGCTTAAAATTTGTTCTAAGGACACGTGGGAAAGGCTGGTCTTATCAGTGGATACAGGCCTGCAGGCGGAAGGCCTTGGTGTGACATCTTTGAGAATTAGACGGGGAAGAAAGCGGTAACAACGCAAAAGCCATTAGAAATCATCTAAAATTTTGCTCCACAATTATGTATCCAGTGGACAGAGAGCAAGAAGTCTTAAGCGCCAGTACTTATAAAGTTCTTCAAATGCTACAAACTCAATACCACATTTTACCTTAAAGTATTTCTTAAAATACCAGTGAGTATCAATTCAAAGATAAGGAACTGGGAATGCGGGTAGCTGGTATTCACTCTGGCAAAAAGAAAAAAACAGAAATGGAAACTAAAGTGAGATCAGGAAAATAAAAATGGGAAAAGTGGGAAAAAAATTATACTAAAATGTCAAGGAAATGTCCCATTGTGTTAACTATTCTAATTATCAACTGTTTGGTTGGAGAATACAAATAAAACATGGGATTTTAAAAATTTATTATGTGATCAAGATAGATAAATGGATTTCTTAAATATTAAATATGTCAAACCTATGCAAACAGGACTCAAAATTCCTAATCAGCAATAGAGGGTTTCTTTGGAATTTATCCCTGACCAGGGTAAGAAAATAATTAAACTGTTAAAGTGTCATTCTACAGTTTGGATTACAATCTGATGGTATTTTCTGTGGTTATACGGAATGGTTTGCACATGTGAGAGAGTTTAGAGTCCCAGGTACCTTATTATACAAGACAAACCCCAGGTTGTCTGGCCAGAGACAGGGAGGGGCAGTAGAGATCAGTAAGAGGTAATATTGTGGATGTTTGTTTAAATGAATACAAAACATTCATTTACCCACTACAGACTTTGTGTAATGTGAGCTTTTCATTCCAAAGCTAATTTTTTAACTGCTCACTCTTTCTAGCACATTTCCTCTTAGAGCAATCTTTTTAAAATCATGTTGATTTCCTGCTAGAGAGTTTCACAAAATAAAATAAAACACGGCTCGTTCCTTTTTTGTGTTTGTTTGTGTTGTGTTGTTTTGGTTTGGTTTGGTTTTGCTTTTTTATTTATATTCTCTCTTTTTTTCATCTTATAAATGGCTCCTCACATTTCGGGAGAATTTTGGGCAAATAAGTTAGAAAGCAAAAAAAAAAAAAAAGGAAAGGAACATGATGTTTTCTGATACCAGATACCAGGTAGGTTAAGAAAAATTTTCATGTGCTTTAAAAATTGGATTGCCTACAGAAGGACTTCATTTAAAAGTGTATGGGGTGTGTGTATGTGTGTGTGAGGGAGTGTATTTACCTGAAAGCATTTTATGTTGGAATGCTGGTCTATTCGTTGCTATACTTTGTATATCAAATACCGCACCCTCACAAGCTTGGATTTATTGCGACTACGCATAACGCCTATTGTTGGGAGAGCCTGCAGATCCCTCGTTGGCAGCAGAGTCACCAGAAGTAGATGCTCCTGTCTTCCCAGCAGGGCTTTGCTTATGGGAAAGAGGGTCATTTAATACCGTGTTATCCTCCTGCACAGCTGTATATATAACCTTCCCTAGACCTCAGTTTTGTTTTTTTAAACAAAAAGAATGACTTCAGTGTCCCAGTGAAATTTGACATGAAAATTATTTTGATGTTTTCATTAAGTAAATTTAGAGGGTATGTAGACTTGGTTTAATAGAAAAAACATTATTTGGTTTCCCTTGGCCTATCACTCTAATGGCATTTAATGACGCAGTGAACATCAGTATTTTCAGTTCAGATCAGCTTGCGGTTTAGCATAAAATGGTTCTCTCGATTTCGATGCAAGCTGTTAGTTAAAACATGAACCTGCTCTCAGTGCTACAGCCATGACTCTGTTTTTGTCCATTTCAGTTGTCTATTTTTTCCCAGTAGAATCTAAGCTCATAATAGGGGCTATGTCTACTTTGCTAACACTATTTTCTCTAGCACACTGCCAGTGTGCTAACTCTAGATATATTTGTGCTTAAGGAATCTTAGTAAGTGGATGTGTGAGTGAAAGAACAAAGAATTGTTTTCTCACTGCCCAAAAGGAGGTAAAGATTCCTTCTTAAAATCATTGAAAATTATTCCAAAACTGGGAAGTCTCCTTGTATCCCGTTATTTGTTTGTCTTATTGAGGTATAATTGATTTACAATAAAATGTAGATTTTAAGGGCACTGTTCCATAGTTTTTCAAGTGCATATACCCATGTAACCAGGATTTCAATCACCATATGGAATTCTTCTGTTCAGAAAGTTCCCTCATGCTACTTTCCAGTCTGTCACAACCACTGTTCTGATGATCGTCATAGTCTTTTTTTTCCCCCTTTCCTGGAACTTCATATAAATGTAAAAATAAAATATATGTTTGTATCTGGATTATTTTACCTAACTTCAAGGTTTTTAGATTTATCCATATTGTCCCCATTGATATTTAATAGGACTAATATGAGTCAAGAAAATACCCATGTTAAAAATAATAAGATTAATAAGAAAGGACTGTGTTATTTAAAAAACTATTGCATGCCTTTCCTTTAAAAGCTCTATTGGTCCCATCTTCCCCAATCTTAAATCACTTTGCTCTTAAGAATTCCAAAGATATGTAGAGTAAGATTCTTAGTAGTTCCAGTTCAGAGGTACCATCCAATTTATTTAACTGTGCTGTGCGCCCTCCACAAGCCCATTATGTGACCCACCAAGCCAATAGGAGGGACATATTGTAGAGCTGGTGACAGGGCCCGGGCTTCCTGCCTCTCCAAGCTAAAGCACATGTGTGTGCCATTAGTTTCCTGTACCCTCCAGACCATTCCATGGGTAGACACGTGTGACACAGGGGGTAGAGGTTAAAAAAGAGCTCTCAAGTCAGATATTTGCACTACTAAAATTCTTCTTTAAAATATATTTTCAGCAACCTGTAATTCTTTGGGATATAGAGGCTAGTATTTGGGTAGAATTGCAAAGGAGGTTTGCAAAGAATAGTAATCAGTCTACAGGCCATGGAAAGAGGCTTGCCAAGTAAAGCTGTGGAAAATGGATTTATGGAATTAGAGAAGTCTGTTGTCGACTACCAAAGCCAGCTTACTTCCTTTGCTAGTTCCGAAAAAGAATGCGTGCAACTTTGTGGCGATGGAAGGCTGTCTTATAGAACCTGCTGGCAGAGCACAATTTTTTACTGGCTCAGTCAGTGTTATTAGAGTTGATGAGAGTACTTTGGGCTCCAGTAGGGGTTTTTAGGTGAAAAAAAATTTAAGCACTTGAGATTAGGGGCCAAAATGTGTTAGTTTATTTCATAGTAAAGTAAAGCAATAAAAACGATCTTAGTGAAGCCACAGATGGGGCTGTATAAGCTGAACTTTCAACTTCTCCTGCAGAAACATTTGTTCTTGCTATGAGATAAAGATAAAATTGTGATCCAGGGAAAGTAAATAAATAATCGTGGAAAATAGTTAATGTGCAATTATAATAGGTAATGGCACTATTCATTCAAAGGTGGCTAAGAGGGGAAATTATAAATGGTTTAAAGAAAATTCTTTTTTATATTAAATATTCAAATGCTGATTATTTTGTACAAGAGTCTTGTGCAAGATATGCAAGATATGTGGAAATGGCAAAAAGAGCATCTGAACAGCCTGAAGCAGAATTTAATGTTAGCTGAAGCACACCGAGATGTCAATATATTTTTTTATTCCCCCCTTAGACCCGGTAGAGATTCTTCAAGAACTGCTCAGTCCTGGGGTGGAGGGATTGTGTGAAGACACAGACATTTTACCCTGAGACAAGCACAGAAGTTCTCATTATAAGGTAACAGCCAATTCCTACTTTTGGTTTTGTATACTTTGAAAATTAACAAAACTGTGATACAAAAATAGTATTACCAGAAGTATTAAGGGCACTCTAAATGTGGTTATAGCTTTGTAGTGGTTCGTGCTTTACATCTTTCATAAGAAGTGTTCAGAAATAATTTGTTGGCAAATATTTTCTTTAACATGTGAAGTAGAATGATATGTAGAGACAATGGGAATTGCAAAGCACCTATCTAGGCATTTTGGATTAAAGCATCGTCAGCAGAGACTCTCCCATGAGGTGCTTCTCTGCTTTTCTTCTTTTGCACTTATAGACAATGAGAATATTCCTATGGTACCTGCAGAGGCTGCTCACACCCGGCGATGCTGGCAGCGCTGTGCAGCCCCAGAGCAGCTCCAGGAGGAAGGGATTGAATCTTAATACATCTGTAAGCCATTCACTGGGGGAGCTCAGCTGGGGAGCCATGGAAGCTTTCTTTTTTCAAAGTCCTGAAATGTCGCCTGCTCTTTGTGCATCTCTGTGACTGGAGTCAGCATTTACAGGAGACTTTCTTAGGATAAAAAGATACATTTGGCCCTAAATTTTCTCATGATGTTAAAGTTGCCTGAAGATTTACCAGTACTTCTAATTTCAGTAATTCTACTTCAGTATCAAGAAACTTAAACTCAGAATACTTTCCTCCTTCCTCTCCATTAGCTTTCTCCTAGCAGGCCCACGGGAGCCCCTCTCTCATGGCAGGACTCCTGGTTGTCCTCGGATTCTGGAGAAGTTGGCCTAAGATGAAATCTGCCCTAAGGGTCATAAGGACTCCATGGTCTACAGTAATTTTGTAGCTTAGGCCTCACTTTAACATTTGGTCTGGTCTTGCTAAGTCCTGATTAAGTTATCCTTAGTAGTCATTCAGAAAATAACGAAGGGCTCAGCAGATTTGGAGCCTGGCCCAAACCCAGACTGAGTAACGCAGAATCATAGGGTTCAGGCTCATGGGACCCAAATATGCTCCAGTATTTCTTTGGTGCCTTATTCTGATAGCGTCACAGGTATATCACCCCAGTAACCACCTCAGGAATATAAGGTGACAACTCAAGTGCTCAGTGGTGTCACCGTGAAAAAGTGACATAAAATATCCTTTGGTCACAATTCCAGAAACTGTCTTACTTAACCAGGAGTTTTTTTCTTGTTTTGGTTTGGTTTGGTTTTATAACCTCTGTCTTAGGTTTGTTCTTTTATGTTTTTAATTAACAGATTTTTAGACCAGTTTTAAGTTTACATAAAAGTTAATTGGACATCACAAAGTTCTTCATAACTCTCCCCCAAAGCACACATCATTTTCATTATTATTACTATATTTTATTAGTGTGATACATTTGTTACAGTTTATGAACCAAAAATAATTCATTATTATTAACTAAAGTCCATTACATAAGGGTTCCCTGTTTGTCTTGCACATTTTACAGGTTTTGAAAAATGTATAATTATATGTTTCCATTGTTATTGTATCATACAGAGTATTTTCGCTGCTAAAAAAAAAATCCCATGTGCTCCCTTGTTTGCCCTTCTCTACCCTCACTGAAAACCTGGCAGCCTCTGATCTGTGTACTGCCTCCAGAGTTTTGCCTTTTCATTTATATGACATTTCAAGAATGTCATATAATTGAAATCATACAGTATACAGCCTTTTGATATTGGCTTCTTTCACTTAGCAATGTACTCTTAAGCCCCTTCCATATATTTTGTATTTTGTGGCTAGAGAGTTCATTTCTTTTTTTATTCCTAAATAATATTCCATTGTATTGATATATCACAGTTTATTTATTCATTCGCTTATTAAGGGCATCTTGGTTGCTTCGACAGTTATGAAGAAAAGCTGCTGTTAATGTTTCCCTGCAGACTTTTGTGGGACATAAGTTTTTGACTCATTCGGTTATATACCACAGAATTTCATTATTGAATCATGTGGTAAAAGTATGTTTTGTTTTGTAAGAAACTGCCAAATTGTATTTCAGAGTGACTACCATTTTCTATTCTTACTAGCAACGAATGAGAGTTCTTGTTGCTCCACATCCTTACCAGCATTTGGTGTTGTCAGAGTTTTGATTTTTAGCCATTGTATTAGATTTTTAATATAATTAATTATGAAAGAGATTGTGACTGTCCAAAAGACTCTGGACACTTGGCCACTAGGAATTTTTTCAGTTTTTACTTGGTAATGACACTGATTAAGAATGTGAGCTTTTCCCTGGCAATAGCCACTGTAGTGATGCAATTTAATGAGGTAAGTATGTGTATGTACCTAAGTGTTTAGGTATGTATGTGTATAACTACTGTAAACCACAATTAACTTAATACAGTAATAAGTAACTTAAAAAAACACATTTATTTAAGCAAAAAGAGCTGCAACGCAGGAGACACAGACTCAGGTAGCAACCCAAACTGTGCTCCATCAAGACAAAGGGGAGACTGCCTTTTATAGCAAAGGGATCCTCCCAGATTCCTAAGTAGGTTTGTTTTATGTAGATGAGATATCTTAATTCGAATACATCTGATTTTTTTTAATTATGCAGTCCTGATTGATCAGCATCATGCATTCTGATTGGTTATTATGGAGCAGTTCTACTTGGATGGGGCAGGTCTTAATCCATTGGTCAAAACAGAAAAGTAGGAACTCGCTTATAATAGTTGATGTAGGTTGTGTATATAAGCAGGATATAGTGCGAGAGGCAGAGCGTGTTCAGTCTGAGGTTTCCCCCAGTAAACGGAGTATATGAGAAGCTCCTGTAAGCAAATGGCCACTAGGCTCTTAGTATTTATAAAATTCAGGTCCTTACTTGACCATGGGGAGTCCATCTCAGGAGACAAATTTCTTCTTGAGGTTGACATCAAATGAATCTTTCTTCTTGGGGTTTACATTACTAGTCTCTATTATAGAAAGATATAACAAGTACAGATTTTTCTAATAATATACCATTAAAATGAAAACATACAGAGTATATCAAAGATCATTTTGTTTCCAAAAATGAAATATGGATCCTAATACTAAGAAAGACCATGCTTGATGTTATTTAAATCCAACTTACTGGCATGAACAACAGTATTTATACATAAGCCACATCAAATTAGGTGTTTCTAATTTTTCTATTTACTGGTAAATTCAGCCTTGCACATATAACCATAAGAAGAAATTCTTCATAATCTTTTCAAATTATAGTAATTTTCATGTATGCTTGGTCCATATTTCCACCCTAGATTGGTTATATTACTTTGTAGATATTTCTTATGAGATAAACTTTCATACTGAGGGTTATTTCTCCAATTAGGCCTATTCCTTTCATATTCTTATATTCAAAACATAGCACAATGTGTTACAGAAAAATATTTATGACAGTTGTTAAAGACAGTAAAGAAGACTTTATTGAAGAAGAACTACCGTAGTAGATAGAGTTTTACAGCAGAGGAGAGAAATTGGACTCAATTCTAAATACCAGGACAAGTGGATGTTTGCAGCCAAGGAGTGTTGTGGAGGTGAGTGGATGGAAAATTGCTAAGAGGATAGGGGCTCCTTGTTAGATGGACTCAACAGGATTCTTTTTGAGGGCAAGCCAGGGTACATAAGATATAGAGAGTGGGAGATGGGGAACATGATCAGATCAAGGGAAGAGGATTTTACCTAAAGTAAGGGGCATAGAATTCTTACTGAGCTGGACTAAGCAGGCCAAAAGAGAGAACCTAAGATCAGAGTCTAGTAAAGAAGAGGATTAGAAGGACTCTGACCCAAATAAAATAGACATGTTCTCTGCTTTGTAAAAAAAGTGCACTCTAGCGGAGGGATTGAGCAGAGGGGGAAAGAAATTGTGTTGTATTGATGATCACAGATTAAATATATATACAAATTTTATAGAGAAATGGAAAGATAAGAGGTGTGTCACATTGGATGTACCTTAGATTAAGGTTCCTAATTCACTGATATTCTAGTATATGAAAGACTGGCTTTTCAAACATCGGTATGTATAAACATTACCTTGAGACCTTGTTTAAATTTCATTCTCTTAGACTCCACACCTAAATGTCTGAGTAATTTTAAGGGTCCATGATCCTTCAGTTTTAATAAGCACTCCAGATCATTCTATTACAGGTGACCTGTAGGCCACACTTTAAAATAATACTGATTTGTGCTATTTATATTTCTCCTCCCTACAGTGTGGTTGAAGTTAGAAAGTACCCCTGAGAATACAGTGATAGGGTGATCAGGCCCAAATATAGAAACCAAGAGAATGTGCCAACAAAATTGCATAACTTCATAGCCCCTTACCATGGTGTAGTTGATAGAAAATTGTACTAAGAATCTGAAAGTGAGAAAACAAACTAATTGGAGAAACCATTACAAAAGTTGAGTCCAAGATTAGAACAGTTGAAATAAGGAATAAGGAATGGGCCCTGACAGGTGTAGCTCCGTTGGTTGAGCATCATCCCACAAAGTGAAAGTGAAAGATCACCGGTTTGATTCCCAGTCAGGGCACATGCCTGGGTTGCCAGCCCAGTCTCCTGTTGAGGCATGTTGGAGAGGCAACCAATCTCACATCCATGTTTCTCTCCATGTTTATCTCTCTCCCTTCCCCTCTCTTTAAAAGCAAATAAATAAAATCTTTTTTTAAAAAAAGAGTAAAATGCATATTTTAAATAGAATAAGTATTTTCTAAATAGATAAAATATAGTACAATTATATCAATATTCAATGAATTGTTTATTTTAAGGGTATCAGTTATAATATTTACAATTACACTGGAAATGATAAATACCCAAGAAGTCTAAAAATGGGGAAATAATTAAATTAATCAGGACTTCTAATAGGATGTTACTTTCACTGCTTTGAAGAATGATAACATTAGGAAGTATGTAACATAATGTTATGTCAAAAGAAAAATGACAGTCTACAATAATACATTATATATGGGTCTTTCCATGTTAAGATATGTGGTAAAATTTTAGATGTTTTGAAC